AAGCTCCCCTCCCCCTCCAAGGCTGATGGTGCTGACAGAGTCACCACGTGGGTGAAACATGGTCGGCTGGGAAGGAGGCTCAGGGAGAGGGGCCAGCAGGTCTTCCTGTGAGGAATCCTTGCAGCGGATGTTTGTTTTCCGTTTCTACTTGATGAAAAATAAAATGCACAGTTGTTATGCTGTCAGAGAACAAAGGGGATATTGACATGTATTTTGCACAGCTAATTTTATGTTCTGTTCTGTTTTATCCAGTTCAAAATATTTCCTTCTTTGGATGTTGAAGTGGGCAAAGCCAGACAGTTATAATGTGTGTGTGTGTGTGTGTGTGTGTGTGTGTGTGTTTGTTGGAACTAGCTCCTTGGTGTTTCACCCTCTGCCATTGTTAATGCTGTTTTGCTGTACAAATCTCCCTTTCTCTTCCTTCTATGACTGGTGAACTCCTATATACCCTCCATCTTTCAAAACCCCACCCTCATCACTGGTCAGAGGGCAGCCCTCCCGTTTTCAGGAGCAGCAGAGTGGGGGTGAAATCTGTGGCAGGCTACGATGGGCCTGCCTGGTTCACCAACCTGCTCTGCCCTTCCTGTGGAGGGACCTGGGCCAGGCTCCTTGGCACCTCTGGGCCTCAGTTTCCTTCTCTATTTAAATGGGGCTACAACGCTACCTCCATCGCAGGGCTGCTGAGAGGGTCACATGTGATGATATAGATAACGTACAGTTGTAGGCACTTAGACCTTAGACAAAGCCTCCATAACATCATTCACACACCCTCTAGTCCAGTGGTTTTCAACCTTGGCTGCACATTAGAATCACCTGGGAATCTTTTTAAAATCCTGACTTCTGGGCCTCATCCTCCAGGAAATTCTGTTTCTTTGTTTGTAATGTTGTGGCCCCACCCCATAACAAAGAAACAGAATTTCTGGAGGATGAGGCCCAGAAGTCAGGATTTTAAAAAGATTCCCAGGTGATTCTAATGTGCAGCCAGGGTTGAGAACCACTGTCCTATACAAATTCAATGCTTTTCAAACTGGGGCAATTTTATGTTGGCCGTCGGCTTCCCCGAGCCCCACCTGGGCCCTGGCACTCAGCAGGCCCTCCACAAACCTTAGTTAAATTGGATTTACTGCACTCGCGCATCCTCTGCGGCGTGAGGAGTGCCAGGGCCAAGAGACATAACGAGGCGCGGTCTGCAGAGCGTGGCAGCATCTCTCCACCGCGGAGCCATCGACACAGCGAATCACTCTCACCACCCGGGGAGCCTGCGCCTCGCCCCACCTCCACACTCCCAAGAAGCACTGAGGTTTTCTGAAGATGAGAAATTTCACAGCCCCTTGCTATCTTTTGGGTAACTGCGTATTTTATGATGACTAATAGGCAATTACTATGGTAATATTGCAATCCAGCATGTGTGAGGTTTGGGAAATGAGAAATTATGGGTAACTACTTTGGACTCATTTCTATGGCAACAAAAAGTAATTGTCATTAAATACCAGTTATACTGAGGCTGTACCTGGTAATTATAGATTTTTTTATGCCCAGAAACATAAATAAAACCAATAAATTTATTCAAAGGTCTATGGCTGTTTACTTATACGTGGCTCTATGGAATACACAATGACAAGCACCTAATTAAGAAATGCAAACCCACCACAGAGTCCTGCTGTCAGATGGAGATGGAGAGTCTGTTTCTCAAATGCAAGGCAACTTGTGCACTCCGCACGCTCAGAAGAGAACGCAGGGGGCACAGGTAGAGGCGGAGGCTTTCTTCTCGGCCAAGGAAGTGATGGGGAGGAGGTAGCAGAGAGAGAGAGAGACAGTACAAACGTGGCAACGCATATGGGCAGCCACTGATGGAGGGACCAGGCCCCACTCCAACCCAACGGCCTTCCACCAGGAGTTGCCTTGCACCTTCTTGGCTCTGCAACACCTGAAGCTACAGTATTCATCCTGCAAGACCTCTAGGCCTCCAGTTCCCCCAGAACCTAGGAAGATGCTCGCATTGCATCAGCAGCCATACCATTCTTACTTTTTTTATTGTAAACTACACATAACATCAAATTCACCATATTAATAATTTTGAATGATACAGTTCAATAGTATTAAGTACATTCATATTGTTGTGCTACCATCAACATCATCTTTCTTCAAAACTCTTTTCATCTTATAAAACGGAACGTCTATGCCCACTAAACAATACCTCCCCCCGCTCCCCCACCCATGGCAACCACCATTCTGCCTTCTGTCTCTATGATTCTATATACTTTAAGTAATAAGCTTCCTCCCTCCCTCCCTCTCTCCCTTCCTCCTTTCTTTCCTTCCCTCCCTCCTCCATCCCCTCCTCCCTCTCTTCCTCTGTCCTATGCCCCCTCCTTCTTGCCTTTCCTCCTATACTCAAGCTAATTTGAGAAGATTTTTATTATTTGCAAGCATGGAAACTTTCACAAAGACCCCCCCCGCCCCTTCACAGGGTGGCTATAAGGATGAAATAAGTGTGGGAGAGCTTGACATGGACTGGGAGAGCAAACAGAATTCTTGAAATGGCATTTCCTGCGATGTGCTTTATAAACCCTAACACCCCTGGGGGAGTGTATGGGGGAGGGGGTGGGGGAACAAGCTCCATAGGAAAAGGGTTCCCTGAGGCACATTTGGAGAACACTAAATACATATTCCCTTCTTCAGATTCCGGTTCATTAGCATTTTCGAAACTGAAAAATCTTATTGTAAAAGGACATGTTTAACTTTTCTCAGCTCTGTGTTCCCCAAACTTACTCAACTCTGAATTCTTCCCCCCAGCTCCCATAATGCCGTGGGAAGTCCCATCAAACTGTGGGAACCACTGCTGTATCAGTCGGGGGCTCAGGAGGGGCGGGGCTCAGGAGGGGCTGGTCTGGGGATCTCCAAGGTACCTGGGGCTCTCAGTTCTGAGTCTTTACTACATTACTTTGCACACTTTCCACATCTGGTAGTGAATTTTTATGACTGATAGGCTCTTTTGTTGCTACTCAGAGCTGTTTTAGCAACAGATTAATGCCTGTGGTTAGAGATTTCCTCCTGCTCTCTTAATGAGAGTCACACATTCTCACTTGGACAATGCTGGGGGTTTAAACTTCAGGGCAGAACCACTTCTGAGGGTCGGAGCTCTTTCATCTTGAAATCCCAAATCACAAAATCTGGAGCTCGAAGACATATGAAAGCATCTGGTTCCTCATCACCACCCCCCTGGCCATCCCAGGGAGGGGCGGCATCCTGGCCAAGGTCACAGACCTCTTTCCAGTGCATCCTCCCTGGAGGGCAGAGGACGGCATAACTGTGTGTGTGGACATCACTGACCTCCCTCTGACCACGGCCGCTCTTGTAATTAAACAGAAATGTTAACATAAATCAAACGGTCATTCCACCACCATCATCACTAACAGCATTCTGTCCTGGGAGGAGAACGGCACGGCACTCAGGCCCGCAGCAAGCCGTAAAACTTGCCAGTGCTAATGAACCATCACTCGAGCCAATTAAGAGAGGAAGCAAAACTGTCTTTAATTAAGGCATCATGCGTCCCGTGGGCTCTCTCTAACTCATACCCAGGGGGACTAGGAGGCCCCTCTGGACCGACTTGCCATGCTCTTGGAAAGCAGCAAACCAGCTCTGTTTGAAGTGAAGCTGGCTGGCACCAGACAACCTGGGTTCTGGTCTGAGCTCTACCACTACTTTGGGCAAGTCCCATCTCATCTCTGGGCCTCAGATTCTTCATCAGTTGAGTCATTGCATTTCATCAAACACCCTTTGAGCACCTACTATGTGCTGACCCTTGCTGCCAGGTGCTGGGGTAGACACAAAGACCATTAGGGCTCAGTCCCTGCTCTCTGGTGGCTGGAGGGTCAGTGGGGTCTATGCAATGGGATAAAACTTGCTCAATAACCAGGCTGGTGGGAGGTCAGAGAAGGATGTGACCAATTCTGTTTGGGGGATTAGGGAATGTTTCCCAGAAGAAGGGGAACAGCATGAGTTGTGAAGAGTGGTGAGTGAAGTGAAGAAGGGATAAGGGGGTTCTGGGCAGAGGGTAAGGGATCAGAGACCAGCAGGACACATCCAGGGAACAAGGCTTTACTTAGTGTGTCCACAGCAATGGTTCTAAGAGTGCAGTGTGGGAGGTGAGGTAGCACGGTAGACAGACAGATGGACACCAGGTCATTCAGAGCCTTTTAAGAAAGCCCAGCCCTTTGAATGTTTTCTTGAGAGTTGTTGTTGAACTCATAAACAACAGAGCTGTATAGTAGGGGCAGAGAAGTTAGACAGTCAGTGATTTACTGGGTGTGACTTTGGGCGAATCAGTGGCCTCAACTGTGAAATAAGAGCAAGAACACTATCTGAGAGGATCCAATGTCCTTTCAGCAGATAACCCTGAGCAGTGGAATTTAGGCTATAAATTATGGTGCACCAGAGAAAGAGAACTCAAGACGGGAGTGCATGAGTGAGTGTGGGGCTAGCTGGTAAGCCCAAAACACAGAAATGCTATTCAGATGATCTGGGGTGCCATTCCATCATTAATGACCTCCAAGAAGAAACACAGAAATGAAACAGCAATCATTATAACCACCATATGATATTCTGCAAAGCATAGTTATCACCACCATTTCTTCTGATGCCCACAGATACCTTGCCAGGTAAGTAATTATTGTCTCCATTACACAAGAGAAACTGAGCATCAGAGGGGAAGTGAATTCCCTAAGGTTACGTTGGAAGTAGGTGCCAAAACTGATAGTAGGCACTTGATTCCTGGTCCAGCAAGCTGCTCAGAAAAACCCAGCAAGTGATATCTCAGGTGGCTGAGCATGAAAGAGCCAAGGCTCATTAGCCACATTCTCAAGAGCCAGGGTGAAGCTTCCTCTAATGAACTCATGGGAAGTCTGAAAATCCTTCCTCAAAAATACATCCCCTTTTTCTTATTGCTTCCATACCACCATCCTACAACTACCAGCTTCCGAGCATCCTGTCCCGTCACTCACCTGTAATTGCCCAGGTAGACTCCGTCAGGGTTGAGCATTGGTGCAATCTTGAAGACCAGGTGTTCCCGCAGGACACGAGCAATTGGGTGCTGGCTTATGAGGAAGTCAATGATCCCTAGGGAAAGAGAAGCATCTGGGTTAACCTCAAAGGGTTTTTAAGGAGGGAGCACATTGTCCTCAGCTTGGAAAATAGTGAGAGCTCAAAGGGGACTGGGGTCTATGTTGTTAGCCACTGTGGACGTAGGACTATGGGTTAGGTGCTGCCTGGGGAATTTTATAAATATAGATCAATTGAAGCCCAAGGACAGGATGGAGAGACAATTTCCTGTGGAGAGCACAGGGATTGCTTCCAAGAACAGATAGCATTTGAGCTGTGCTTTGGAAAGCCCTCAGGGTTTTGACAGACAGAGATGAAGTCCGCTAAATACTGACATCAAATTGATGACTATGGGATCAGGGGACTTGGGGATCTGGATCCTCGTGCTGAGGATGGGCACACCAGGAAGCAGGGGGGAGAAGGGATCTGGCTAAAGTCACATGAGGAGAGAGGTTTCTACAGTGTTCCCCAACTGTCCCTTTCCCCACCTTGAGGGTCCTCTGTTCCAGATTCCCTCTTTGCTTCTCACTAGCACCAACACCACCTTGGCTCCAGGTCACTACATTTAGAAAAGTTGAATTCTCCATGACTCTCCTTCCCCAGTCAGGCCATCCCCAAGTCTCTTCTTTGAATCTAGCAAAGCTGCCCTCATCCCATCCTCTGCCTCTCTTCTGCTCTATGCCACCACCACATCTGGCCTGGATGACAGCCAGTGCCTCTGACAGGTGCCTTCCAACACTGCAGCCAGGGGATCTTCCTAACGTGCAAGTCTGACCCTGCCACTCCCTCCTTGATGTCCTCTGGTCATGGCCTGCATGCATCCACAGGAGAGGAGGTGAAAAAACAACACTGGGCCCTTGACCTCACCTTCCTCTTCTCAATGCTTCTTCATCTAAGACCAAAAACAATGGGCAAGATGGCACCCTGGCATCCCATGAAATGACTGTGATGCTGGAAAGTAGTAGAGAGTACACAACCCTTCCAAAATGCAGAAGAGCAACTCCTATCCTGCACCAGGGAGAAGAAGCTTTGAGCTGGGCCTTGGAACAGAGTAGGTTTGACAGACGGACAGGAGGAGGCGGCAGGGTGACTGAGAATAGTCCCCATGCCCAGCGGCAGGCACTTAGCTCCTGGAGTGATGCTCCGCTCCAGAGCACATTCCAGAGCTGCTGGGACCACTGAGGGATGGCTCAGGCTTTTCATCAGGCCAAGGCCGAGAATCGATGGGCAGCCACAAGCCAGTTGGACATCATTTACTCCTCGGCCGATGCAGCAGTAGACCAGATGCCTTAATTTATTTGTTGGTCTTCATGCTAAAGCTGCAGTTTGCCAGTAAACAGGCAGGGTAATGATGCCAGGCACCCTTGTTAGGGGCTCATAATTGCTTAATCTGTCCACTAATTGACCCCGGCTCCCGGGGCGGCCCTTCATCAAGGAGCCAGCCTGCGCTCAGGGTCTGGCCACGCTGCCTCAGAGAATGGCTTCTGGAAACAGAGTAGCTCATTGTGATCCATCCTCCTTCACAGATGAACAGATTAATTGGGCTGCCAATTAGGCAGCTAATAAGATGATGAGAGAAAACAAAGCCAGACCAAAAGCTGCAGCCACCCTGAGCTCTGGCTCCCAGTGTGAGGGTGGGGATGGAGAGGAGAGGTTTCAGACCCATCTCCTGGCTTGAGGTCAGATACAGTTCAAGGGCATCTTTCCCATTAGTCGGGAAACTGGGAGGGGACCTTCCACTTTGTTTTGGTGGGAAAAGTGGGAAGTGAAGAGGAATACGAGGAGAAATGTTGGAGAAAGTAAAGAGTGGAAAGGAAACGCATTGCATGGGCGGAGGTAGTGAAAAGAGCATGGACTTGGGACCTGTATTCAAATTATGACTGGTTGTTAGCTAGAGAAGTTACCAGCTTTCTCTGACCAGTTAACTTATACTGACATATGCATAATAATACTAATCTGAAAGGCTGTTCTGTGACTGGGTTAGAGCTCCTATGTTCCAACTGCCTGACACAGCAGCTTAAAATTGTAATGTGCTTTAAGAAAGTCACTTAGATCAAAGGTTGAAAGACATGGAGGAAAGTGAAAAACAGAATGGAGTTTAGATCTAGGAGTCCTGATCTGTGAAGTTTAATGACTATGGGATTTGGGGACAAGCTACTGAATTGGAAAAGCCACAAACCAGCAATCAGAGCCCCTGGGCCCCAGTTTTGCTTGGTGGGCCCGCTCTTGTCTTTACAATAAGGAGAAAGAACTCAGAAACTCCCCAGAGTGCACCCGCACTGACAGTCTCGGATTCCATCTATTTCTTTCCTCTCTTGGGGAGCAGAAGAACCCTCCTCTGCCAAGTGAGGAGAATAATCTCCCTCCTTCTGGGAGACACTATCAGTCCCATAAGATCGGTCTGTCCCTTCAAAAGTTTTCCGGGTCCTTTCCTTCCAGCGGATTGAATCAGAAAGCAGGAGGGTAGGAAAGCTGGAGGCAGGAAGGCCGTGAGTGTGAGTGTGTGTATGAGTGTATCTGTGGGTCTCCTTACTCATCCTCTTACCCCCACAAGACAACCTGAGGCATGACCTCCCAGAGGGAAGGTCAGCTCTACACCAGCCTAGGGCCTGGTGGGCACCTTGGCACATAGCAGCAGGGTCTGGGCTGTGGGACAGGAGACCTGGGTCTGGTCCCCCCTCTACCAGGTGACATGTAGTGAATCCTTTGGCTTTTCTGAAGAGCAGGGCTGAGAGCTGCCCAATGACCTGGTAGGATTACTGAGAAGAGTGAGAGGAAGAGAGAGTCGGCATAGTGGCACCTCCACGTGCCTGATATTGCCCTGAGCCTGACATCCATGGTCTCGTTTGCCCTCCCAGTAGCTCCGTGAGGAATACTCAGCTGCCCCTCTTTGCAGGTGAAGAAACAGAGGCTCTAGGAGGGTTGAGGACTTGCTGAAGGTCCCAGGCTGGGAGGTGGAAGTGGCAGGACTCAGACTCAGGCCTGCCCAAGTGCAGGCCCCTGCTGTGCCCACTGCCCATGCTGCCCTCCAGGGGGATGTGCCTTGCCTGCAGTGTCATCCCACCGTGTAGGTCTAATTAATTCAATTAGGAAGGGTCTGAATCACGGAGGGGCTTTAACAAAAGAGCAGTCACTGCACCAGGAGGAAAAGCTGAGGTCTAGTCCTCGCCAACCAGCTGACGTGGAGTGTGGTCTTCCCCCACGTAAAGAGGACGGTTCGGTAACAGCTCTCAGGAGGGTGGCGAGGGAGTGGGGGATGGAAGTCACACACTGGGCTTTGGTTCATGATGAGGGCTAGTGGACCCCTACCTGCACTTGCAAGTGCTCAGTTAGCCATGACCTCCCTCTTAGAGCTCCTATGTTCCAACTGCCTGACACAGCAGCTTAAAATTGTAATGTGCTTTAAGAAAGTCACTTGGATCAAAGGTTGAAAGACATGGAGGAAAGTGAAAAATGGAACGGAGTTTAGATCTAGGAGTCCTGATCTGTGAAGTTTAATGACTATGGGATTTGGGGACAAGCTACTGAATTGGAAAAGCCACAAACCAGCAATCAGAGCCCCTGGGCCCCAGTTTTGCTTGGTGGGCCCACTGAACACCAGGCACTGTCCTACGTGTTGTGTGAACATTAACTCATTACACTGTCACAGCAACACTAGGAGGCAGGATTCCTACTATCATTTCCCTTTAAGATAAAGGAATGGAGGCACAGAGAGGTTAGGGGACATCCCCAAGGTCACACTGTACTAAGGGGAAGAGCTGGGATCCAATCCCAGGCCACATAGCTCCTGGGACCATGCCGCACACGCTCTACTCCAGGGCAACACCGAGCACCTTGTGGCTGATGAACAAGGAGAGTGTGTCCTCACAGAGGCCAGGAGAGGGTCTGAGGCGGCAGAGGGGTGGCTGAGAAGCAGCCATCCCACCACCAAGCACCTCTGCCTCCCTTCCCACCACCGCCTCCGGAGCTCTGCGAGGACAAGGCTCCGCTCTGCTCCCAGCAGCAGGTGTGTCAGCAGCTTTGCGGTGAGAACCTTGGTCCCAGCCAGATGGGGCGACCAGGCCCACATGTCTGTTCCCCACTCAAGGTCACTGAGCCAGTTAATGGGGAAGAAGTGAACAGAACGAAGGTACCAGACATCATCCTTCCAGGCCTTGGGTCCCTCTGCCCTCCCCACAACCAGGTGGGCAGGGGAGGGGACCTGGGGGAGGGCTTGGTCTGGGGAAGAAAGCCCAGCTGAGCCATTGTGGGGACTGAGAAACCCTTGGGGAAGACTGTGCTCAGTCTCTCTTTGGCAATGGGGAAAGGATGCCTGACTTAAGCTGCCTCCAGGAAGGAGGAGCTGTGTGTCCTGAGGGACAGTCAGGGATGGGAAAGACAAGGCAGAATTGGGGAGAGGGGCCTACGCCACACCTGCCATGAGTTAGTGTGTGGCCTTGGGCAAACCACTTTGCTTCTCTGAGCCTCTGCACCCTCTTCTGTAACATGCACATCCACTGCTGTGGGATGTACAAATATTGTATTTGTTCCCGTTTTGTTTTTTTACTTCAAAATAAGGTATGTGCAGTGTGCATAGGAATTTGTTTGGGAGACCCAGGTTCAAGGACCCCTTAGGCTCCCTTCTGCACCCTTCTCCCTCTTTCTGTCCCCTGTGGCCCCTTCTGTGCCCTTCGGCCCCCTTCTGGCTATGTGACTTTGAGGCTCCTCTTTCTGAACTCAGATTTAGCATCCCAGAGCCAACACATCATGTGTCCCTTACCGCAGCCTCAGGAGATGAGCAAAATAATACCCATTTTACAGATGTAGAAAATGACATTTGAAGACCCAACCCTAGGCCTCTGGTAGCTCATGGTTTAAAAGTGAAGAAACAATATAACTCTAATATATAACAAATCAGGGCAATAAAGATGACTATCAGGTAACCTCTAAAGCAGCCATAAAGTAAGGGGCTACAGAGTGTGTGCCAGGGGCCCACAAATGGCATCTGACATAAACCTTGGGCTATGGGAAGTGTTTACCAAGTGGCAAGGAGCAGCAGGCAGAGGAGTAACAGGTGCAAAGGCCCAGCAGTGGAGAGAGGATTGTCCATTCAGGGATTAAGTTGTGTGGGGCTGGGATATAATAAGGCTGAGGCCAGAGAATCTGGCAAGAGCCAGATCATGAAGGTGAATGTCATGCAAGGAGTTTGGAGTTTATCTTGAGAAGGTAGATGGGAGGCATTAAAAGGCTCTGCCAAGGAGTAAACTTTGATTGAAAGCCTACAGTACAGCATTGGATCTATCAACTCAGCACCATCCAGGTTCCTTTTTGGAAAAGCAGGGCCAACAGAGAGAGCACCCGAGCTCTACCCAACTCTGTGCCTCAGGCCTCGCCTATAAAATGGGAGGCGGCCCTGCCCTCTGTCCACTGCGCACAGAGGAGGTGGGCATGGGAGTCTAAGCTCCCCAAGAAGAAAGTATTGATGGTACGGCTGCTGCCTTTTTACAAAGGACTCAACAGTTGCATCCGATTAGCTGGGGGAACAGGTCTGCTGCCAAGTTTAGTAACTGACAGATGGCTGCCGCAAAACCAAGAGGGACCTGGGAGAGGTTATGGCAAGGACAGTGCTGGAAGTGAGAATGCCAAGGAGTAAGCTAAGGTGACTGGAGCGAGGAGGTGAGACAGCCCAGCTGTGCCTTGTCTGAGCTGCTTGGCTCTGGGGGGATCACCTTCTCTCCCTGAAACTGTCTCCTTGCCTGAAACATTGAGGCAGGCAGTTATGTCCAATCACAGTGCTGCAAAAATGCGAATGGGGAAAATAGACCCCATATTTATCTGCATAATGCCTCACAGTGTACAAAGCGGATTAGCTGCTTCACCCCCTCAGCTCCCCATGAGGAAGGAGGGGCACCTGCACACAAACACCGCGTATAGGACGGGGTGTTTGTGTGCATCCACCCTAGGCCAGCTCCATCACAGCCTTCAGACAGGGATTGGTTTCCTAACCTATTTCACAGTCCAGGAAGCTGGGTCACACTGCGAGGAAGTGGCAGAGCCGACATTTGACCCCAAGCCTATCTCATGGCAAATCACCAGGTACTTCCCCGGCAGCAGGCCATCTCCCTCGAGTTATGTGACCTTGGTGGTTTTTCCTATCCCTTTGACCTCGTGATCACTTTGAGACTAAAATGAGATAAACTACTTAACTTCTCTTAACTTCAATTTTCTCATATTAGTTCCTCTGACACTGAAAAACTCATATGGTGGAAATAAATTAAGTCAAATTAATAAAACTAGATAATTAAAATAAAATGTGTATTTTATTTGACATGTTACAATGCTAGGCACATATATAGTATCATGTAGTTTATATATAGCACACCCACTAGATAGGTAAAAGTGCAACAGTGTTAGCAGGAATGCGGGACACCAGGAGCTCCGATGCATTGCCTGAGGCAGCGAATACCTGGAAAAGTGAATATGCACATGTCTATGGCCCAGCAGTTACATCCATGATTAAACCCCCTAGGAAGGAATTTGTACTTGTGCACAAGGCACTTGTGTAAGCACATTTGTATCAGCATTGTTTACAAGAGAAAACACTGCAAACAACCTAACTCTTCCTTCAGGAGCACAGACAGGTCAGTTGAGGTGCAGACAGAGTGGAGTAGACTGCACGGTGAAACAGTGAACAGCTTTCTTCACCAACATGGATCCTGGGTGAAAACCAGTATTGGCACACACAGGACCGTACCATTTTTATAAAGCTCAAAACCATGCAAGACTAACACCACATTGTTTAGGAATGCTTGCACGCTTAGTAAAACTGTTAAAAAAGACAAATACAAAATTCAAGCTGATGGTTATTTGTGTGAGGGGGAAGGCAGGAAGGAGGACAACGGACTTAAAAGGAATTGATAATCTTCTGCTTCTTACGCTGGGCATTCACTAAATTATTATTTATATGTTACTTATTGAACATATTTATATCGCTGACTAATTAAATGTATTTTATATAGATGAAATATTTGATAACAAATAAAATGCAATTATAAAGAGATATATTTGAGAAGAGACATTGTATCTTATTTATCTATGGTTGTCTGACACCAAGCATGCTTCCTTGCTCATGATAGGTATTTCAAAAGTTGTATGTTCAGTGAATACTTGAGTGAATGAGTGAATAGAAAAATTTTAGTCCTTAATTCCCTAGTTCACTGCCTGCCCTTCCGTCAACATGCGCTTTGGCCTGGACCAGATGTGTTATTGTTATAAACCACTGGAAACAAATAAAACACAGCTAGAGAGTGTAGGTGTCTCTGTACGGCTCATTGTCAACACAGCACATATTAGAGAACTTCATTCGGTCCCCCTGTTCATTTATGCATCCATCCACTCATTCATCCAGTCATGCATACATACATGTGGTAAATATTTATTGAAAATAAATCCTAGGAAAGATCAAGTGTAATCTCTTTAGAAGTGAAGCGAATTCCCATCCAAGACAATGATTCTGTGTGTTACCACACTGTCCCAGATACCATCACAGTGCCCCAGTGGGGGAGAGGGGCATCAAGCACAGGATACCCATGGGGTCCTGCTACTCACCTTGGCACACAAAGGAAGAGGGTGTTTCCCCTGGGTGGACTCGTCCCGTGATGAATACCACCTTCTGCTCTGCTCCTTCCCGAAGATTGTCTGGAAGATAAAATAAAAGAAGGCTGCTAAGGAAGGCAAGGAAAGCTGAGACTAGGAGAAGGAGAAAGCAGGAAATGGGCTGGATGCTTTACATTTCTCTCTTAAATCATCCAAGCATGTCAAACTCGCCGTCAGTGGGCCGCATGCCTCATTTATTTGGCCAGTGTTAGCCTTTGAGTTTGACATGCTTGGGTTAGAGCCATTAAGTCCCAGCCATTGCTGGCTAATTTAATTATGTCCCTGGCTACTCAATATTAAAAGACTACATCCCATTCCTTGATGCAACTGATTATATTAATATTAAAGTCATGTAAAGAGGTCATATGAGTGACTAAATCCCAGATCCACTGACTAGGCAAGTTGTATATCCATTCTGAGTTTTAATTTGCTAATCTATCAATGTGGATAATAATATCTACTCCATAGGGTTGTTGTAATAATTATACAAGCTAACATACTGCCTAGTAAATATTCAGTAACTGATTAAGTAAAGAGGGTGGTACTTAAATTAGTAAAAGTGGCAACTGCCTTTCAATTAGCTCCTTTTATGTCAGGCACAATATACAAATTATTTATAATCCTTATAGAAACATTCTCATTAATAGTCCTTTTCATAGAGGTGGAGACTGAGTCTCAGAGAAGCTATATAACTTGTTCAAGGTCAGACAGATAATATGTGAGGGAGAATGAAACGATGACCAGGGAGCAGCGAACTGCACAGAGAACCAGGACTCATTTGAATTCCCTCACTGATTGTTCAGGCAATCAGTCGAGAACCCAGAAGGACAAATACTAGACCAGTGGTTCTCAACCTTCCTAATGCCGCAACCCTTTAATACAGTTCCTCATGTTGTGGTGACCCCCAATTGCATTGTTACAAATTGAACATAATTAAAGCATAGTGATTAATCACAAAAACAATATGTAATTATATATGTGTTTTCCGATGGTCTTAGTCGACCCCTGTGAAAGGGTCGTTCAACCCCCAAAGGGGTCGCGACCCACAGGTTGAGAACCGCTGCTCTAGACTAACAAAGTTTAAAAACAAATCTCAAAAGGACCAAGCTGAAAAAATAAATGTAACTGACTGGCATATAAATCCCAACTCTCTTTAAGGGAAGATAACAGAATCCAGACATTCAACCATGTATAATTCACAAAATCCAACATCCAATAAAAAATTACTAGCCATGCAAATAAGTAGAAAAATGTGGCTCTGAATCTTGGCCCAAGCTCTTGCTGCCTCTACAGAAGTCTCACTTGTATAAGATTTAGCTACTGTGCAAAGATATAATTAAGCAAAAGCAGTAGCCAAGAGTGACAGTTCCAGAAAGAAGGGGCAGGAGGAGGGTACTTAGCCGTGGGCAGAGGAAGGACTGATTGCCCCAGAACAGAACAACAACCTGAAGTGAATTCAGAAATGAAAATAGAGAGAAGTTGGATTACAGGATTCCACTGAGGGCAGTTAGAAACAAGGAATAGGATTTCAGCTTCTGAAATGCTAGAGACAGGTTATTTTGAATGCAGTTCATGATCCCACTTTTGATACATCAATGTCAGATACTAAAATAAAAACTAGTAACTCTATGAAGCCTGGTTCTAAAGGCTTGGGACTTGCTTGGTCTGTTGGGGTGAGGTCAATTGAGTCCCTATTGATAGGAAAGGCAGCAAGATAGATAATGGAGACCGAAGATGTTTCTGAGAACTCGCTGTGTACTCAGCACTGAGTGAGGCACCTTTAGGAGCAAAGGGAGAAAGAGAAGACCCACCTTTTCTAAAGAAGCTCATGGTCAGACATGTGACCTTTTCCTAGACTGAACAGAAGCTCCACAAGGGAGAAACTGCAAGTTGTACTGTGCATTTTTAATGTCTTTCCCAGGACCTTGCATGGAGCAGGTGTTCAGAAACCAGCTGTTAAATTAATAAATAAAAAAATACTCATATAGATGACAGTTTATAAATAAATTTAGACACACATTATCTTATGTACTCGGCATCATGTCTCTGTGAGGTGGAGAGTACTGACCCCATTTTACAGGTGAGGGACCTGAGGCTCACAGATGGAAGGTCATGTAGCCGGCAGAGGTAGTTCAGCCTCAGCTCCCAGCTCAGTGCCCCTTTCACCACCTTATGTGTCTCCTCTGGATCCAATAACAATGCAAGACTCTACATCCTCTGCATTTCCATCTATAACATACAAAAGTGTTTGTTTTCATCCCTTATTCCTGGGGGAAGTTTAACTATTCTCTTAGTATTTATATTGCTTTTCCCTTCATAAAAAAAATGCCACCGAGCCCTTTAAAAAAAACACTGTCTAACACTGATGCCATCTATCTCAGCAGTTCAGAAATGATAAATGGCATTACCGGGGCCCTCGGTGAAGGCTACCTTTATGAATGTCTCTCCTGACCCACTATCAACTCAATTGCATTCGGCATTTCTGCTGACCACAGGAAAATGCAAAACGGGCATTCTATTTGCACACTAATTTTACCGAGCCCCTGCGTCTTCATAAAATGATAACGTGGGGCTAATAAAAATCAAGCATCTCGGGTGCTAATATAAGCAAATGTTGATGCAGGCAGGTTACAAACTGCTTTGTCATTTAGGAGGCCGTAAAAGAGCATTATAATCATCTTTAGACAAAATGGATGGCTCGCCTTGGCTTAGTTTTTAGCTTTCATTTGCAAAATCAATTTAAGGTAATGTAGCAGCTCTGAGGCGGTGTGACATGGGACCCCCCCATTCCTGTCACCGAGATCCCAGACTTGTGCAAAGCCAAATAAACATATTCTTGGAGGAGGCAGCAGGGAGGGTGGAGGAAGCATGCTAGAACAAAGCCATGGTGGAAAAGAAGCTGAACAATGAGAACAAAGACAACTTGTAAGGGATGGTAAACCTGGACACGCGTGGCGGGTGTCGTTCAGGGTACAAGGGCACACTCAAGGGGGACCAGGACAGCCATCCCTCCTTAGTTAACAGAAGGTGTTTGAGTCAAATGTACTTACGTAGCATCTCAGTGTGTGTGCGCGTGCACACACACACACAGTCCTTTGTCATCATATCCCTCTATCATCATCCACTATGTCCCTATTCATAAAATATTTATTAAACACCTTTTCAGTGGCCAGGCACTAGCTATCATTATCTTCATTTCAGGGACTGGTCCAAGCTCCCCCAGCTAATGGCTGGCCCAGCCCGAGTCCCACCCAGGCAGTCCGACTCCACAACCAGTGCTCTTAACTAACCTCTGTGCTCTCCTGCTTCTTGCGAAGGATGGTATCATCCAGTTACAACAGCAATTACATAATGTTTATTCAGTACTGATTCTGTGCCAAGCACTTTACATATATGATCTTATTTCATTTTCATGGCCATGCAGTGAAACATCCACTATTTTTACCCCTATCTCATAGATTAGGAAATTGAGATCCAAAAAGTTAAATGGCTTGTCTAAACCTACATAAGTAGCAAATGTGGGAGACAGGATTATACCTAAGTCTTTATGGACCTGAAATTTATGCTCTTAAGCACAGTGTCATATCATCTCTCAAAGATGAAATAAGGTCCTTAGGGGGATTTTAAAAATACACCCACGAATTCTGTGTTCATCTGCTCCCTTCCAGAGGTGGAGATGCACTCCTCTCCCCAGCCCTCCTCTCGCTGTGGGCTGGACTCAGAGACTTAATCTAACCAAGAGGATGCTCTGGAAGTGGTGGCACCTCCCTGTGGAGATTGGGCTTCCATCGTGCGTGCACCGTCTCTCTTAGGAATCACTCACTCTAGAGCATCCAGCTGCCATCACATAAGGACACTCAGGTGGCCTGTGAAAAGGCCCATGTGGGGAGAAACTAAAGAATCCAGACAACAGCCAAGAGGATGAAGCCAGTCCAAACCAAGGAGTGAGCTTAGAAGGGGGCCTCCAGTCACGATGACTGCAGCCCTGTTGATAACCAACTGCAACCTCATGGACGACCCAGGGTCGGAAGCACCCCGGTCAGTTGCTCCCGCATTCCTGACTCCAAAGAATCTGAGAGATGATAAAAGTTTATTGTTTAGATGCTGAATTCTAGAGTAATAGTTAACTAATTAACTTGTCTATAGATGCCAAATTCAGTAAGGACCAGAGCCATAACCTCTCGGTGCCAAGATGAAGATGAAGATGAAGTAGAAGACGAAGACGAAGACGAAGAGCTTCAAATTATCCATGGATCTGTGGATGGTGAAGGTGCTAGAAGAAGCCAAGAGGCCTCAAAGAGCACTAGCTGGACTCTCTAAGGACAAAAATCTCCCCAAAGTTCACATTATCAGTTTGGTTTCCCTACCTCTCCTGACAATAACTTATCATGGGGAGTGAGGTATTATGTGCAGTTTTTATTTTTACCTCTAAGCCTTTTTCATTTTCTGAGAAAATTGCCTCATATCGGTTTCTAAACCAGATCAATTGCAGTCTCTTCTCCAATACTCCAGGGCCCAAAAAGGTCCACACCACACGAAGCTGGAGAAAAAGAAATCTTGGTGGCAGTAACAGCATGGCTAGCTGGTACCTATCTGAGGGCCCACTCAGGACTAGCATAGCCTTGTCCATGATTTCCCTATGTCAACACCATTCTTGTCTGTCCATCTTCCACCTGGCCCCCAAAGTGGAATTTCTAAAATGCAGATGGTAGCATACCTCTCCCTCTGCTTACAACCCTCAGCAGCTCTCTGCTATCCTCCAGGCGAGCCCAGCCTCCTTCCCCAGCATCTCTAGTCTCTGGTGGCCATGCCCTTCCACAGGCCCGGCCTCGGCTAACTCCTGGCAGCTCCACCGCGGGCCACGTTCTCCCACACCTCCACACTTGGGTTCATGTTTTTCTCTCCACCTGGAATGCCGGCTCCCAGCTTGTCTGTCTGGCTTACCCTACTCAGCCTCCCGGGCTCTGCTCAGATGTACCTCTTCTGAGAAGGCAGCAAGGAAACTAACACTCACCCAGGACTTGTCCTTGACCGCCCTGGTG